TGTATAAAATTGGGTTACACTTTACTTTAAGGTGTCCTTGTTAACAGTGTAATTATACAATTACGTACCGAGTAATATTCATTAACTACATGTACTTACTATATGATTAGGGTTTGGCTTACAAGGTGTAACAAGAACACCTTAAAATAAAGTGTTACCGTAAATTGTTTTAAACGGTTTCTATTTGACAAGTTATTTATTTATTTATTTATGATTGATAATTGGTTTCTTCGTTTTATTAAGTGGCACTCCCAGTCCTCCATAATTTTCATTTTTGGCTCAATTTCATGACTTATAATTATGGTATTATCAAGGAGATCTGTCTTCAGTCATACTTAGCAATATTGGAAGTTCCAGCGATGTGGTAGAATACGGAGCCGTTATGTACAGCGTGGCCGCAACCTTGGAAAAATTTTCGGACATCGATGGATTCACTGCTGCTGTTCTGGAACGCTGCGATAGTGTTGTACTCCTTTATGATACGTCCTAATAAATTTGTAAACATGGGAAAAATCTTAAAAGCAATATTGTATGTTCAATACAAGATATGTCTATAACAGCATTTAGTCAAATACCAAAGATTAAACATTTTGATCACATTTAACACTTGCAGATGGAAGTAGAGTTTAAATGCAGGGTTTATGTGCTGTATTGATGAATGATGGTTCTCTCTTCAGTACCTGAGAAATGTTCTGCCACCCAGATCTTCTCATTGTCGTGAGCAGCAGTGTCCATCATCCATGCTCCAAACGTGCTGCTCATTTTCATCAAATGTCTGGGATTCTGCACTGATTTTATGACACAGTCTACCAAACACAATCACACAGTTAGAGGTAAAGCTTATAAAAGCTATAGTTAAATGTATAACAACTTATAATTTGCCCTTGTTGGTACCGTTTATCTTCCATGATACTATTTTCTGGCTGATGGTGTCATCATTTGGGACTGAATTAAGGTGACCTGTAGATTACATATGTCATATTACATGTTATGATGTGTCTTACAGGGGGAAAGTCACTATACCCAATTTTGGATGTCCATGTCATAATTTGCCACAAAATCAAAAGGGGAAAAAAGAACTTACACAGTATAAATAAAATTAGAAATCTGATTACTGAAAATCACATTAAAATATTTTGTAAATTGTGACAAACATTATGCAAGAGGAAATATTATTGTAACTAATGCAATGTGTCTGTACATGAATTGTTTAGTAATTCTCATTATCAATGGTAGTTCTCATTCCTGTAATAAAAATAATATGTTTTAATGTATTACAGTTTTAAAAAAAAGTTAGTTAGTTGTATGTAGTTTACATAGTTATACATTTTCAATTTGAATAAAGAAAATGGTTTTCTTTTGTTTGTTTTTGATTATGAGGTAATTTTGAAATATGTACATGCAAAATTTAGCATTTTAGCCATTCAACTTACCTACAGACTCCTTCCCCATGTGGAGATGTGCTCTGTGGCTCCTGTGTCTTATTGGCCCTTGAGGCCCGGGGGGCCCTGGAGGGCCAGGTGGACCAGGGAGGCCAGGGGGTCCCATTGGACCAGGTGGACCTGCAGATTAAAGCAGAAGGAATATGGCCATCACTCATTTATCATGCCAACATTATTGTGATCCACGGAGGTCTAAGATCCATATAAATGGCAGGACTATATATTCTCACAGGGGGGGAAAATGGCATAAAATAACATTGTAATAAAAATGTGTTCTCAACTATTTTATTATGCAGTATCCAACAAGTTCGCCGTGATTTTGCCAAGTAAGACATGTTCCTGGATCAACATTA